ATTTTTTTTATTATATTCTTTAGCAATAAAAATTCTCCTCATACAATTGAGGTTTAAAAAATAATAAAAATAACAATTTTGTTGTAGGCCTATTTGATTGAGCGCTCAAGGGTATAGAGAGAAAGGGGTGCAGCAAGATTGAGGGAGAAGAGAGATTGATTTAATTGTGAAGTGTGTTTGACTCACCCCATTGTGCCTTTATTTATAGTAGTAGAAAGGGTAAAACTTTTCCCTTTAGGATTACAACATTTAATAAGTAATCTAATCTTAATGGGAATATATAATACTTTCCCAGATTCCCTGGGATTTACACAATCACATTCCTATTCTAAATATGACTGCAACACTCCCCCTTGAATGTGTAAATACTCAAGAAACCATCACATAGATCTTCAGCAGATAAGGTAAAATAGTTGATGAAGTCATCGGCACAACGGGTGATCGCAAGTCTCAAATTTACGTTGAAGTATGCATCTGTAAAAACTCACAAAAACCTTGCTATGGTAAAACCCAAGGAATGGGGAAAACCCATAGACTAAAAAGAAAAGTAAGAAAATATGCATAATGTCTAAAACGCTCGTCAAACTGGACGAAGGTAGTGAACTTAACGGAGTATGATCATCCCGAGATGGGTGCCTCATTAAAACCTAGTTAGGTAGCAAAAATCCAATGGGAAAAACGCTCCTAATCATAGGGAAAAAGAGTACATTAAGATCATGTGAGTATACTTCAAGATACTCCCTCTGAGTTTGACATAACTTCTAAATAAGAGAACTACAAGTGAATCAACTTAGATAATTTACGCATACCGATTCCTTGGATGAGCTTCTGAAATGTACACTTAGGCAATGACTTGGTAAAAAGATCGGCTAAGTTGTCTTGGGAACGGATTTGCTTGACTTCAATGTTCTGATGTTGCTGCTGCTATTGTGAGTAAAAGAACTTTAGTGTTATGTGCTTGGTGTTGTCTCCCTTGATGGATCCTTTCTTCAGCTGCTCGATACATGCTGCATTGTCTTCAAAGATCGTCGTAGGAAGGTCAACGACTGATGTAAGACCACTAGTGCTTCGAATATGTCTCATAACTTCTCTTAGCCAAAAACACTCACGTGATACTTTATGCATGGCAAGAATCTCAGCATGGTTAGACGAAATCGCAACTAGCGTTTGCTTGGTCTCTAACGGTAAAGACATAGCCCGTTTGAGAATGTGCTCTATGTAGATCAGACAGATATCCAGCATTTGAGTAACCAACAAGGCGAGAATCAATCTGAGAGCTATAGGGGGCGGCAACACTCGGAGATTAGCAGGTATAGAGCAATCCCAAATCCGTAGTACCTTTGAGGTAGTGAAAAATGTCTTTAACACCATTCCAGTGTCTGCGCGTGGGTGCATTGTTGTATTTAGCCAATAAATTCACAGCGAAGGAGATGTCAGGTCTAGTGCACTGAGCCAAGTACAATAAAGCCCTAATTGCACTTACATAAGGACCTTCGAGTTCCAAAATCTCTTCCTCATCCTTCTTTGGACGGAAAAGATCTCGTTTAGCATCTAGAGTTCGAACGACCATGGGTGTACTCGAAGGCTTCGCTTTATCCTCATTAAAACGACGCAACACCTTTTGGATGTATTTCGATTAATGTACTAGGATTCCATTCGAACAATGCTTGATCTCCAGGCCGAGATAACATCGAGTTTTCCCAAGATCCTTCATCTCAAATTCCGATTTCAGGTGTGCAGCAATTTCCTCAAGCTTTGCTGGAGTCCCAATGAGGTTTATGTCATTGACATAAACTGCAACAATTACAAATCCGAAATATGACTTCTTTATGAACACGTATGGGCATAGTTCGTTGTTCACATAACCCTGACTTGTCAAATATTCACTCAAACGGTTATACCACATCCGCCCGGATTGTTTCAATCCGTAGAGTGACCTCCTCAACCTAATTGAGAGAGTGTTCCATGGTCTAGAACTATTTGAACCAGTCAATGGAAGTCATTCTGGAACTTTCATATAGATTTCCGTATCTAGATCCCCATAAAGATACGCGGTTACCATATCCATAAGCTGCATATTCTATTTTTCAGAAACTACCAAACTGATTAGGTAGCGGAATGTTATAACGTCCATTACGGGGGAATACGTCTTCTTGTAATCAATCTTATGGCGCTGAGAGAAGCCTTGCACTACTAGGCGTGCTTTGTATCGTACTATTTCATTCTTCTCATTACGCTTCCTTATGAAAACCCACTTGTAGCCAACAGGCTTTACACGTGGTGGTGTAGGAACGATATGTCCAAACACTTTACGTTTCGCGAGCGAATCGAGTTCGGCCTGGATTGCTTGTTTGCAGTTTGACCAATCGGTTCTACGTCTGCATTCATCAACGGAATGTGGTTCAATGGCATTGCTAAGCATGATGTCAGTAGCTACTGAGTACGCGAATGCATCGTGAACGATCATCTTATTCCTATTTTAAACCTCATCCAATACTGTGCAGTGGACCGAAATCTCGTGATTCTCGGAAGACCGACATGTTTCGTTTGATGCATCACCATAATCTAGAATAACCTCATGCGTTGGAACGGATGAGTGAGCGATGGTTGGATTCAAACTAGGGTCACTAATTGATGCCATTTTCCTCTTCCAGGGTTGTGAATCCTTTGAACCAAGGGGTCTGCCACGTTTCAGGGTCGGAGCAGATGATGGGTTAGCCGTCAATGTACCTTACCGCGTGGAAGGTACGGCATCCCTACCTTAGGGGATGGTCCAGACTTCCCAGACTGGTTGTTGACGTATCCGGGGTACATTTATCCTTACAGGTATGTTTGCAATAGGTATATGTGATCTTGTTACCTTAGCTAGATCATTAAAAGCATCTGGCATGCTTTGAGCAATGCTTTGAAAATCTATAATTCGACGCACCTCAGTTTCAGACTGGGCAGTGCAGGGATCTAAATGAGACATAGTGGGAGCATACCACGACAATTCGTGGCGTTCTACGGGAATGTTAACATGCTTATCTCCTCCTAATGACAGAAAAACTGTTTCATCAAAATTACAATTCGCAAAACGTGCAATAAAGATATCTCCTGTCAAGGGTTCTAAGTATCGAACAATTGATGGCGAATCATAACCGACATAGATTCCCATTTTTCTCTGATGATCCATTTTGCTACGTAATGGCGGCGCTATTGGCACATAAATGCAAGACGTCAGGCTCTTATCCAGTGACCAACTGTAATGGTGAATGTGGTTGGGTAACGGTGGGCATCAGGCGGACCAACATAGCTGCGTGCAATATTGCATAGCCTCAGGCAAATACTGGCAATTTGGTTCTCTTAACCAAAGTTCGAGCTATCAATTAAAGGCGCTTTATGAAAGCTTCTGCCAGGCCGTTTTGGGTGTGAACATGGGGCACATAATGTTCCACATCAATCTCTACTAACATGCAATAATCGTCAAAAGTCTGTGACATAAACTTTCCAGCGTTATCGAGCCGAATCGACTTAATCAGATAATCAGGGTGGTGAGCCCTTAGTTTAGTGATTTGAGCTAGCGGTTTAGCAAATGCGGCGTTGCGTGTGGACAACAAGCAAACATGTGAGCATCAACACCATAAAATATTTAAATGGTCCGCATGTTGGTTGGATAGGTCCACAAATGTCCTTTTGAATCCTCTGAAGAAATTTAGGGGGGTCGTAAATAATCTTTGTATAGGAGGGTTAAATATTCAACTTCCCTAAAGAACACGCTTTGCATGACGGAAATCCAACATAGGGATGCAACTTATGCCCGTGAGAAGATTTGAGGATATGGCACATCATGTCACGTCTAGTATGTCCCAAACGATCATGCCAAAGCGACAAAATGTCCTGGAACTCAGGCATAGGGCCGGCCACACTGTGGGCTTTTAACGTTCTATGTCGTGAATGGTTGTGATGTACAACCCACCCAGCAGACGTTCCAACTTCTCGTGAATATGTTTCTGGCCATATTCGTATGAAGTGATACAAAAAAATTCAGAACTATGATCTTTAGTGGTTTCAAGATGATATTTATTATCTCGAATATCTCTAAAACTCAGTAACGTTCTACCAGAACGTGGAGAATAGATTGCCTCCTTAATGGTCAAGATTGTACCATTAGACAACATGATACGTGTCTTTTCGTATCCTTCAATCAGGTTGGATGGGCATGAGAAAGTCGTTAAAGGAGCTTTCTTGGGTATTAAGTAAAATAGTGTCGTTCACACAAGATGGTGTGCGTGGTTGCACCCACTAGACATACCTAGAAATAAATTGATTGAATTGCTCACATGCATATATATAAGTCCATTCATTCAATTAAGCAATTCGAGAGAATAATATCCATTCAAATAACAATCCATAATTCAAAACAAACCAAAACCAAACAAATTATTCCAAATACATAGAAAAGTTGTTCAAATTTAAACCATACACCTAACAAAAGAAAGGGGTATGGCCGGCCACTCCTAGTGGGTTCGGCCACTAGGGGTAAAACACCCTAAAAGCATGATTTATTCATCTAGAGGCACTGACACCTCCTGAAAATTTGATATCTCCATTGATGTAGTTGCATCTTCCGGATGATCCACATGTACAAAGTTAGACTCAGGATGGAAATGATACTTGGCAATGGCCTCAAGGGAAGCTCGGCATACGTATGACCAATGATCCTTGAATCCACAACGATAGCACATGTCCAATTCAAAATAAGCAGCCTGAACAGGAGCTTTGCCTTTGTTCTTAAAGTTTGGGGCCTTAAGGGCTAGTGGTGGACGCTGCTGGGTCATATTTCTTGCCTTAGGTGCAGCACTTTGTTGGTCTTGGGTCTGTGGTTGGGCTTGCCGTCCATTGCCGCAGCCACGACGGTTCTTTCGTCATCTATGACTGCTAGAATTAGTCGCATGCGCTTCAGGCGGCGCGTTCGAGCCAATAGGTCGAGCTTGATAATTCTTCATCAAAAGTTGGTTCTACTTTTCAGCAAGAAATAAAACAGAGATCAAATCAGAGAACTTGGTGAATTTCTGTGCCCGATATTGTTGCTACAGGACAATATTGGTGGCATGAAAAGTCGAATAGGTATTCTCTAGGAGATCTAATTCGGTTAGTTCCACTTTGCAAAATTTCAACAAAGAACGGATTCTACGAACTTCAAAGTTGTATTCATTCACGGACTTAAAGTCTTGGAAGCGAAGATGTTGCCAGTCGTGTCGTGCTTCAGGCAAGTATATATTTTTCTGGTTATCAAAACGATCGGCCAGAGCAAGCCAGAGGGTGCATGGGTCCTCCTCAGCGAGATACTCAATCTGCAGTGCATCATAAATGTGTCTTCGAATGAAGATCATTGCAATAACCTTCTGAGCTTTGTCAACAGGTTTGTCGGCGATAGGTGCCTTGATGGTGGCTCTAATGCCCTTTGTAGTGAGATGGAGCATCACGTCTTGAACCCATTTCAGATAGTTTCTTCCAGAGACTTCTAGAGCGAAGAAATCGAGCTTGTTCAAGTTCAACATATCCCTAAAACGGAGGGAGAAAACGTGATTAGTCATATGGTAAACCATAGACATATATCGTAGAACATACAGGTTCTATAGACATGTAGTGGTTTAATTTATGCATGAAAACTATGGGTTTCATGTGGTATGTTTTGAATGAAAACTTCAAGTTTCAAAGGCACTAAATTTGAAACTACAGGTTCAGTTTAGTTTTTATGAACAATTAGTTTATAATGAGAGGTTCCTGCAAGAAACACATAATGCAATATACTTAGTGTAGTGGATTTGAGTTTCTTCGAGAACTCTAGTGTGAGAGCTACGTTACTACGAAAGTATGTGACGGTTCAAAGTATAAAAGTAAATTATTGAATTGTTAATGTCCAAAAATAATCTTCAGGTCAATAATTTTGGATTCATTATCAGATTAATGGACTGCATGTCACTTTTAATTAATTCAATAAATCGGGTCATACCGGGTCGATTGTAGAAGCAAAATAATATTATTGGATCAAAAATATAGCCCCAAAATAATATTGGGCTTGGTGCTATGGGTTAAGTGGCACGGGTTTGGGTGCCTTCAGTATAAGGCAAGGCCTAAAACACCTCAGGGGTGGGCTGCAGGCCACATAGGTGAGGGAGAAGCCCCAGCCGCAACTGGGTTTCAGTTTAGGCTGAAGGGGGTGCATGGGACAAGGCCCAGTAGGTGCTGACCTTGTGGGTTATGCACGGGGGAACAGAACCCAGCCTCATGGGCTGGGGTATGGGTTCGAATGGGAGCTCAGCGGCATAAGCTGGCTTCCTGTGCTGCTAGCGGCAAGGAAACTAGGCCTAATCGAGTGGGCTGGCACCAGAAAGAGTAGGTATATGGGCCTAGATGCGTGCAGGACAATGACCCATCAAGTAAGGCTTCTCGTGGGTTTGGTCTGGATCCATGAAGGCTGCGGGCCTACTCAGTGATAGACCTAGGGCTGCAAGCCTATTCTAATCAATCAGGCCGAAGCCCTAGTGGTCCAAGTAGGTGCAGTAAAGCCCAGAAGGCTGCTACCGATGTTGTGTCGTAGGGGTGGTGGCATCCAATGTCTAATTTCTCCTTTTTTTTTCAAAAAAAAAAAAAAAAAAAAAAAAACAAAAACAAAAACAAAAACAAAAAACCCTTAGGGCTTAGGAAACCCTAAATATGCTTCTAATTTATTTTATTTTATTTGACTCACAAATTCCACATAACAATTTAATTGTGCGATGCATGAAACAAATATATATTTATATATATATATATATTGAAAAATATATGAACATATACACAATATATATATATATATCGGAAGGAAAATGTAAACATAGGGGGTTCATGCATCATGGAGAATGTTTTCATGCTTCGTGGACGTTTCAAATATCTTCCTTTACTTTAAGCATACCTGATTAGCAGAAAACGAATAAACCTTTGAATGTGGTGGATGATAGCCTTATCTTACGATGCGTCAATTCCTCAGCTTCTGGCAAGAGCGTGCTGATAACGTGTTGTAGGCCTATTTGATTAAGCGCTCTAGGGTTTAGAGAAAGAGAGGGGTGCATCAAGATTGAGGGAGAAGAGCGATTGATATAATTGTGAGGTGTGTTTGACTCACCCCATTGTGCCTTTATTTATAGTGGTATAAAGGGTAAAACCTTTCCCTTTAGAATTACAACATTTAATAGGTAACCTAATCGTAATAGGAATATATAATACTTTCCCAAATTCCCTAGGATTTGTATAATCACATTCCTATTCTAAATATGACTGCAACAAATTTTTATATTTATTAGATATTATCTTATATCTATATGAATATAAGTATTAAAAGTAATAATAATATTGTTTATCATGTTCGTTTCAACAAAAATTCTACTCGTACCGTCGAGGTGTAAAAAATAATAATTTTTTATTTTATAATATTTATTTGATATTACCTTATATCTAATCTAAACTACATATTAATATAACCCTCTTTGTCAATTAAACGAGAGTAAAAACATTATTTAGTCTTCTATTACAACAAAAGATTAAGGACAATAACATAATTTCACAATTTTTTTTTTGTTTTGTTTAAGCCTCACCTACAAGAAAAAGAGGTTGTCAGTTCATAGCATCAAGTGCTATTGATTTTTTCTCATTAAAAAATATAGATTGTCAGGTTGATGTTACCTATCTTTATGCATCCCAATGTTCCACTTTTCTTTTCATACCCACACATTTGACACTTTCATTTCTCTTTAAATTCAAAATAAATTAATATGATCTCTAAAAGATATTTTATAAATTAACACATACTTGTGATTATTTGAACTTGACACACCCCGACCGAGATCAGGGCATGCTGGCCGTTATGTAGAAGTGACGTAATCATGTGCACAGTGCGGAAGCTAATAAATAATAATAAAAGTACGAATAAATATAAACCTAGCTATACACAAGGTAAATAACATACATGTGTAAGCGTAAGTGTGAAAAACAAAGTTCAGAGCACGGAAGACCTAGTGCAGTTCGGGAGAAACAACACTAAATAAACACACCCAAAGGTGGTCCTACACTGGTGATTATCTATCAGATAAGCCGGGAAATCCTCTAGGGAGCCACCAGAAGTGCTAGCCAAACTAGAACCTGGAGGGGCGCGAAACAAAAAGCGTGAGTGAGCAAAAACAAAACTTTTCAAAAACCATTTCATAAACAAAGTTCTAACCCCTCACCGTAAAACCTGTATACTTCCCAGAAAAATAGAATATACAAATATATATAATAACCATGTTCAAAAATGTCATGCCAAATGCCTCGAAATAAAATGCAAGTACTCAGGTAATGCCAAACAATGTCATGTAATCCGTCAGTCGGAGTCACCTAATGTGACCTGTAAGGCTGAATCTAAAGCTCAAATCTCCAACTCACTAACTATACTTGCACACGAGTCGGAACCACCTAAAGTGGTCTGTACGACAGGACTGAGTGTATAATAAGTACGCTCAAGTGCTACGATCACGTGAAGACTGGGCGAATAATCGCGGGTCACCTACGAGTCGGAACCACCTAAAGTGGTCTGTACGAAAGGACTGTGCACCTAACTTGGATCCAAGATGAGCGTGTGGTGCGGGAGGTGAACATCACGTGAAGGATTATGCCCTACTCTGGGCGGGAGCACTAACACTGTGGGTGCAGGTTATGAGCTCTCTATGCATCTTAAATCATTATTGAACATAAACATAAACCATAACTTACCTGGCACTTACCTGTGCGTCCGCAGCATCAAACATATATATATATATATAACTAATAATGCATAATTAATAGGCAAACATAATGCATGACATATAAACGTTTCATTTCACTTTCTGAGAAAAGCATAAGTATATAAGTATATACGGAAAACCAAAAGCCCACTCACTGGTAAGTAGAAGGGTCGTAACCCCCTTACCTCAAGTGACTGCGCTCGTCCTCGGGATAGGTCTCACCACTTTCAAGCACCAAAACCAACGGAATCTCGCCGGGAAAACACCACCAACTCCGACCAAACCTGCAACTCACGATCTCGACGTCCAAAACCTTCAAACTAACTACCCCGAGCCTCCTAAGAACCTCACCAAGCTTTCTACAAGCTGAAATGGGTATGGTTGAACTTCTAATGACCTCACGAGCACTAACATGTAGTTTGTTTCCTCAATCTGTGAAGATTTCAAGGGTTTGTGGTGTTGTCCATACAAATGGAGATAGGAAAGAGAGAAAGAGAAAGAGAATGATAGGGTTACGGGACAGCGAAGGGATGAGGGTGAGTGTGGGTGTATGTATGTGGTCCAAAATCAACCAACCAAAACCCCAAAATGACCACACAACGAAACAAACATACTAGGGGCAAAACCGACATTTTACCCCTACGGTACGAAAAGTCTGAGACGGGCTATCACAACCTACCCACCTTAATAAAATTTCATCTCGAAATTCAAAACAACCACTCACAGCAACCACTAGTGATCAAAGAGCAACCGAGGATACAAATCCCTCATCTGATCTTCAGTTTCCCAAGTAGCCTCTTCCATAGTATGATTCATCCATAAAACTTTCACCAAATTCACAGTCTTGTTCCCCAGAACTTTTTCTTTTCAATTTAGAATCGTCACTGGTTCCTTATCATAAGTCAAATCCGGATTAATTTCCAAGGGTTGAAGATTTATCACATGAGACGGATCTGCAACATAATGTCGAAGCATAAACACATGAAAAACGTTATGTACTTTAGCCAACTCAGGAGGCAACTCCAGCCTGTAAGCCACCTCACCAACTCGTTCAATGATCATGTACGGTCCGATATACCTGGGACTCAGCTTACCTTTCTTTCTAAATCTACAACGCCTCTTCACGATGAAAGCTTCAGAAATACCCAATCGCCAACCTTATACATTCTGTCAGTGGCATGCCGGTCCGCCAAGCTCTTCTGTCTATCCTGGGCCACCTTCAGGTTAGACTTGATTACCTGAACATTTTGAGTAGTCTCCTCAACAATCTTTGGGCCCACCAAAACTCTTTCTTCGACCTCTGACCAACACAAGGGTGTGCAACAAGATCTACCATACAACACCTCAAATGGTGCCATGCCGATACTCGAATGAAAGCTATTGTTGTAGGCAAATTCTATTAAATCCAACCGCTTGTGCTAAACATTATCAAACTGTAACACCGAAGATCCCAACATATCCTCTAACGTCTAAATGGTTCTCTCTGACTGTCCGTTCGTCTGAGGATGATATGTTGTACTATAAAGTAGTCTCGTACACAAAGCTTCTTGAAAAGCTACCTAAAATTTAGATGTAAATCTTGGGTCACGATCCAAGACAATACTTACAGGGACACCATGGTACTTCATGATCTTCGTGATGAACAACTCAACTAATCGGCCCAAAGAATACTTCTCCCTCACTGGAATGAAATGTGCTGACTTAGTAAGCCGATCAACAATCACCCAAGTGCCGTCAAATCCATTATGCGTACGCGGAAGCTTGTACACAAAATCCATAGTAATGTTTTCCCATTT